TTTATCAAAGGGGCAAGTAATGTTGGAGTCCTTTTCACTGACTGGACAGTGGGCAAGGTGAGTAGCATTCCAAACTTTTCCATCACTAAGCAAGAATGAATGTGTACCCACATTTCTCTCGACAGTCTCTGGAGGAGTGAATCTGGGGTGTGCTTTTGGAACATGTTGAGGTTTCCTTACCCTCACTCTCTCACCAGGTCGAAAAGAAGGTTCCCGTGCACCACGTTTGGCATCAGTGTAGCGTTGCATTTTGTTTTGACGCTTGCGTACAGTCTTTCGAGCATTATCATCCACGGCAGATGTGGCAGTTGGCAAGGGCAGAATGTTTAACTTAGTGCGCATTTTGCGTCCATACATAAGTTCATAAGGAGAAGTAGCAGTAGTAGCATGTGGTGTTGCACGGTAGATTTGAAGCCAGTTAGTAACAGTGTCTTTCCATGGTTGGGACTCTTGAATAGCAGATTGAATGCAGGATCTAAGTGCACGATGAAATCTTTCAATAGCACCATTTGCAGCTGGATAGTAGACAGATGTTTTACTGTGAGAAATGCCTCGTGACTGGAGGAAGGAGGCAAAAGCTGCAGAGGTGAATTGAGTACCATTGTCTGTTACTATGTTCTCTGGATCTCCATGTCGACTGAAAACTGAAGACAGAAAGTGGACAACATCATCTGTGGTTGCAGTACGTGAAAAAGCAAGTTCAGGCCACTTTGAATAGTAATCAGTGAGTGTAATCGCAAAACGGCAGTCGGAGGCTGCAGTTTCAAAAGGTCCAACTATGTCAAGTCCAAGTTTCTTCCATGGACCATCCGGCAGTGGTACAGGTTGAAGTGGAGCAGGGCGTGTACATGCAGTTTTATCATTGGACTGACAGAGGACACATGACGCAATAGCAGTTTGAACTTGTGAATCCATTCCAGGCCACCAGTAGAGGTCTCGCAGGCGTTGTTTTGTGCGAACGATGCCTTGGTGACTCTCGTGAGCAAGTGTGATCAAGTTGTGACGTAAAGAGAGTGGTGCAATCAGCCTGGAGCCACGTAGGATGTAGTTGTCTTTAGTTGAAAGTTCATCTCTGATTTTGTAGTAAGGTGTAAGCATTTCAGTAAGCGGCTTAATAGTAGCAGGCCAACCTTTATCAATCTGTGCACGTAAGGCAGACAGTTCAGGGCAAGCAGCGCATGCTGTATCAAAGTCAGTTACTGGCAGTGATGACAGTGCAGCAGATATGTGAGCAACCATTTCAGGTTCAGCATCAGTTGTAAAGTCTGCAGGCAAGGGCAAAGGAAGGCGTGAAAGACAGTCAGCAGTGTAGTTTTGTGTACCTGGTCTGTAAACAACATCATAGTCAAAACACAGCAAGCGTGCAGACCAACGAGCAATGCGCATTCCAGCACGTCCCATGCCTTTGGTGCTGAGTAGAGTTGTCAAAGCTTGGTGGTCAGTACGAAGTATGAAGCGTCGTCCCCAGAGGTATGTTCTCCATTTTTCTGTTGCCCACACACACGCAAGTGCTTCTTTCTCAACTGTGGAGTATTTGCGTTCTGTACTGGTAAGTGTGCGCGAGGCGAAAGCAACAGGTTTCTCAGTTCCATCAGGTTGAACTTGTGTGAAAACACCTCCCAGTCCATAGTCACTAGCATCTGTTGAAATCACAATTTGTAAAGCAGGGTCAAACAGAGTGAGTGCGGGACTGTTTACAAGGAGTCGTTTTACTTCTTCAAAACTGTTTTGTGCCTCAGATGACCATTTGAATGTGTCTTTATTATTGGCACAGTCTCTCATGGGGGCTACAACTGTGGCAAAGTTGGGCAGGAATTTTGAATACCATGAGACAAGTCCAAGGAATGACCTTAGAGTCACAGCATCTGAGGGGGGCGGAGCTTTAGTCACAGCCTCAATGTGCTCTTGGTCAGGGAGGATGCCATCTGCAGTAATGACATGTCCCAAGAAGCGCAGGGAAGGTTTTCTGAAATTACACTTGTTGTCGTTTAACACCAGTCCAGCTTCTTTCAGTTTGTGTAGAACCGTGTGGAGGTTTTGATCATGTTCCTGTAGAGTTTTACCATAAACAATAAGATCATCCAAGTAGTTTTGGACACCAGGAATGTCTTTGAGGATTTCAGCCATCATCTTTTGAAAGGCTGAAGGAGCAGATGCAAGTCCGTAGGGCACTCTACGAAATCTGAATAGTCCATCATGTGTAATGAAAGCAGTGAGATCTCTGCTATCTTCATGAAGGGGTAGTTGGTAGTATGCATTAGCCAAGTCTATAGAAGAGAACACTTTGGCACCATGTAGGTTTGTGAATAGCTCGTCTACATGTGGGAGTGGGTAGCAATCTATTATCACAGCTTTATTTGGTTCACGGAGATCTGCACACATCCGTATTCCACCAGTTTTGCGTCCTGTAACAACAATTGGTGAAACCCAGGGTGATGCGTCGATCCTCTCGATGACACCAGCATTCAGTAAGCGATCAAGCTCAGCTGAAACAGAAGATCTGACAGCAAAAGGTAAACGTCTCAGTTTTTGTCTCACAGGTTTGACAGTAGGGTCAAGTTTTACCTTATGGACAAAGTTTTGCACGCAGCCTATTTCAGGAGAAACACTGTTTTGAGTAGGTGCAGTGTCAGTAGTCATCACTGCAGTTTGTGGAGGCAGGACAGTGTTACCTTTGATGCATATTTTTAGCGCATTCATCAGGTCTCTTCCCAGTATGGGTGTTCCTCTTTTCACTACATAGAAAGTTTCCGTGGAGGACACGTTTCCTCGGCTCACTTTAACACCGAGGCAACCCAGCAATGGGATCTTTCTCTTTGTGTAGGTGACGAGTTGCATTGCAGGAGGTTGTAGTGCAGTATCACTGAAGCATTTTTCATAGGTGCGGTACGGCAGGATAGACACAGCAGAGCCAGAGTCCACAACAAGGCTCAAATCCACATTTGGAGAAGTCGGAGTGCATGCAGTAACATCACAGTGGATTTTCTTTGGTGCATGGCTAGCATCTCTAAGATACAGTACAGTTACTTTTGGTAAGTGTATCTCATGTACACATCACTTGTCTTAGCTGAACGGCAGACACGAGCAAAATGGCCAATTTTGGAGCATGACTTACATTTTGCCTTGGCAGCTGGGCACTGTGGATAGTTTGCCAGGTGTTTATCAGAGCCACACCTGAAACAACACGTCGGAGCGGAAGAAGCAGTAGCATCTGGAGGTTTACTTGGACGTTTGTTTTGTTGACTTTTCTTTTTGTAAGGAGGACGCTGTTGTATGGCCTGTACTGGAGTAGTGTGGTCTGTTGCCATTGATTTAGCTTGATTCGCAGCAGATTCCACCTGAGTAGCAAGTGTAATGGCTTTATCCAGAGACAAATCAGGTTCAAGCAAAAGTCTTTCTCTGATGCGGGAGGCAGTAACGTGTTCAATCAGCTGGTCACGTATCATTTCATCCATTTTGTCCTCAAAATTGCATCTTGAAGCGAGATCACGTAAAGCAGCCACATATTGTACGATTGTTTCATGAGGTGCTTGTTTTCTTTTCGAAATAAATGTCTTTCCACAACGACATTTACTTTTGGAGTAAAGTATTTTTCTAAAGCAGTAACGGCTGACGCGATAGTATCACCCGTCTCTGGTAAAGAGTAGAACAAACGCTGTCCTTCGGTTCCCAAGCAGTGGAGTAAAGTAGCTCTTTTGCGCCCTTCTGGCCATGAATTTCCAGTTGCATTTATTACCAGCAAGTAGTTGTTGAACATCCGCATCCACATCTCGAACGGCATAGTCGGCTCTCCCGGACTCGGCAAAAAAGCAGGCGGCGGTGGTACGTTACCAGCCATAGCAGCAACTTCTTCGAAGCAAAACAAAAAAAAGAGTAGTGAAAAAACGCACGTAGGTTCACTCGTCGCCAATTTGTGGTGTAGTAGTATGAATGAAGAAGCCCATAGTATCTTAAATCACTTGTAGATTTATATAGGAACTTTTCAGAGCAGGTTTACAGCAGTCAGTTCAACATCAACGCATTATTTAAACTCTCTCTTCTTCGGCAGTGCATAGCATCGTATAGAGTAGCTGCGCCCTCTAGCGGCATAAGCATAGAACACAACAGTCTCTAAAATACACAAAGAATTGTTGGATTCCTTCCCCTAACTTCTAAATGGCTTCTCAAAATGTGGCTACTCCAGAAACTAATCCCACTGGATGGAGAGAGCCAACTTGTCCACCAAAGACAAAATTGCTTACAGAAAAACACCAAACTTACCTACCTCTAACAAAAAATATATACTTACAATTTTAGTTTCGGGAAATGGATTACATTTATCCCGGACGAGCCCCCACTTTTGTTACGACCCAGCTCAGCTAGGTGTGAGGAAGTAACAAAATAACCAAGATGGTAGAATGGTAACTAAAATCATAATTTATTTAGGTGACAAAGTAGGTAAAACAAAATAGGATTAATATCTACATAACACACAGTAAATAAATACCCTATTAAAACAAGTAAGCAGTTGACAAAACCAAAAGTGTCTCAACATAAACTAAACAAGTCACTGAACTAAGGTACCGGCACAAGTGACAAAACACAGACAAAACTAATGGCAAACTGGAGTCCACTGACTCCAGCTGCCCTGAGCCGCGGAAGATTGGCAGTTTATAAGGGCGGGTCCTCCAGGTGAGCGCACGCTGATTGGAGGCCTGCCTCAGCCCAATCAGCACCCAGGCATCGCGGTCAATCAGCTCCAGGTGGGGAATGACTGGCCAATAGGAGCCCAGGACTCACGAGCGTGATCTTCTGAAAAAAGGGAGGAAACACAACCACACAGAGACACCACGGGAGAAACTAAAGTAATCCCCAAAATAGGGAATTACGGGCCGTAACACCGGCCTGCGCGGCCTGAACCACCGCGCACTCCTCCTCGCTACGGGCCGCCCTCCCCAGCTCCTTCCTCTCCCGGCTCAGTTGGTGGTGCTCGGCGCGCTTTGCGGCTGGCACGCATCAAGATGGAGGCCGAGCAGAAGGATCGGGACCGCAGTGCCGAGCTCGAACTGCATATACGGAGGCTTGAGATCGAGGCTGACAAAGCTGTGCGCCTCAGACGCCTTGAGCTGGAGGCCGAAGGCCGCCTCCCCAGTCCTACTCAACGCCCGGGCGTCGCTGCACCTGCCACAGCCCTCTCCCCAGCTGTTCATGACTCTCTTGACGTGAGTAAAATGATACAAATTGTGCCTACATTTAGGGAGAGTGAGGTTGATTCGTATTTTTCTGCTTTTGAGAGAATCGCGATGGCGTTAAATTGGCCTCGTGAAGTTTGGCCTATCCTTGTGCAGTGTAAAGTGTACGGTAAAGCACAAGAGATAATCGCTGCGATGCCTCTTGCTGAGAGCCTGCAGTATGATGCAGTCAAGAGAGCAGTCTTACGCGCGTATGAGTTAGTGCCTGAGGCCCTACAGACAGTCTTTTAGAAATCTCCGTAAAGCCCCGAGTCAAACGTGTGTTGAGTTCGCACGGGAAAAAGGAAATCTGTTTGACAAATGGTGTGCCTCTGCGAAGGCCCAAGATTTCGATTCTTTGCGTGAATTAATGTTGTTAGAAGACTTTAAGAACAACCTGCCTGCGCGTGTGGTTGTGTATTTGAATGAGCAAAAGGTTAAAACTATTTCTGAGGCTTCTGTGTTAGCAGATGAGTTTGTGTTGACTCATAAGAACTTTTCGTCATCTTCTGTTAATGAGACGCGTGTGTCTGTGCAGCCTGATCGTCCCCGCTCTCCTGGAACCTCCACAAGGGACAGAGTCTGCTTCTACTGCCGCGAGCCCGGACACGTAATCGCAGACTGCCCTACTCTCAGACAAAAGGAAGAGTGTTCAGCTCCAAACGTTCAGAGCATTGGGTTAATTCAATCTGTAAGTCATAAGTCAGGACCCAATACTGTCCAAAATCACGGCTCCTGTTTTGAGCCTTTCATATCACAGGGCCTAGTATCACTGAATGGCGAAGCACCAGATCAACGCCCCATCCGTATCCTACGAGACACTGGCGGTTCCCAGAGCTTGATTTTGGCCAGTGCTCTCCCGTTTTCATACCGCTCTTACTGTGGTTACAGGAGTGTGTTACGGGGAGTTGAGATGGGCTACCGCCCGCGGCCCGTTCACTCTGTTCATGTCCAGTCAAACCTCGTTACAGGAAAGTTTCCGTTAGCTGTTGTCCCTGCGCTACCCATTGAAAATGTAGACATGATTTTATGTAATGATTTGGCAGGGGGCATGGTGTTTCCTCCCCTGTTGGAGGCGGTTCTGTCCCCGCTTGTGTGTGCCTCTGATCGTCAGATGCCCACGGGTTGTGCTGTGGCGCACACCCGTCCTCCAGAACAGTGCGGTTGTAGTCTGCCCGCCAGTCCAGTGAAACCACGAGTACCGCCGCACTTTACTCCACCCGCCACTTCTGTACGGAAGCACAAGGCTAGGGCCACCAGGCTTGGGTCAGGCGAGCGGCACTTTCAGCACCATGGAGAGCGTTTTGGCTCTCGCTCTGCAAGTTTCAGTTCGCGGCCTTGATCTGTGTGTTCCTTTGAGGGATTCGCCACGAGAGAGGCAAAGTCTGTGATTCTGTGTTCGGGTGAGTAATTCACAAATTTGCTCTGATTTTACTTTGAGATGGCTTGTATTTTAAGGGGGGGAGTGTTACGGCCGCTGGCGCTGGGCCGCGTCGTACACCCGCTTCCCTCCCTCCTGTGTTGTGCTGCTGTTCTGCTCAGGCTCCGCCCCGCTGCATGGTGCACCGGCTACGCACGCTGCCTCCCAGTTCTGCCTTCCGTTCGGAGATTGGGTCGCGCTTTCCACGTCTGGCCAATCCATCGCTGCGGCTAATCAGCACCAGCCTTGAAAACGAGTCTGCTCCTTCTGTGCGGGGCGGCTTGAATCAGTGTCTTGTCTACCACCGTTCTGAGAGAACGTGCTGTCTGTGTGCGCTAAAGATTAAGCTTAAGGTTGCCTGTGTGGCTCTGTGCTTGTGTTTATTTGAGAACCCTGTGTTTTTGTGTGTTTTATTTGACTCTGACGCTGTCCAGTACAAACTGTTACCCCTTTTGCCTGTTTTATTAAAAGGCCATCTAATTTACCATTATTACATCCTTGGTTTTATGTTACTTCCCTCTTCCCCTACGAGCTCAACTGTAGGGCCGTAACAATAAAGAATAAAACTCAATAAGAAAATAAATAAATAAACTTTGTATTTATCTAATAAAAATGAATCACATTTAATCACATATAATAATTGAACTGAGAACAGTGATAAGAATTATTTTCACATTGATATTTTGTATGCCATTGAATAATGACTGAATACATAAGCTTAAAAGTATTTGGGAGGATGTTCTTCTTCCGGGTGAATCATCTAGACCTTCGGTCCATCTAATTGTCAATCATTCTGGTAATATTTAAGACACGTTTTAATAGGCGTTCCCTCTGAGGAGAGTGGCTCTTTTCTAAAATTCGGGAAAATCCACCTTTATATCCTTTTGTATTTTGTATTCATTTCTTATTAAATTTTTCAACAGACCAGTGCAATAGCAATAGCATATTTAGACATATAATTCATTTTGCAGACCCTTATCTTCTACCACTCAAAGCGGTCTCCAGCCAGGGTATTCTTAGCTCTTTATGATTTACAAAACTAGGTAAACGTGAACATTTTACGCAGATACATCTTTCAGTTTTATGCACAGCTAAACACAACATTTTGGATTCAAAGCCCATACTGTGTCAGACCTAGAATTACTATAAAAACCTTGGAAGTGTCATTCTGTCCCATTCCAGTCAGAGCACCTCCAGTTTAATAAACCCCAAAATGGACTCGTTTTCCACCAATGGCTTAGTGCATGTATTTCTTCACATACAGCCCATGGAGCATAAGCCTTGGAATCAAAACATAGCTTAACATATGTACGGGCAGACCGCTCCGCACACGTGTTGGAGAAGGCTCCTCTGATAAGGCTAATGTTGAAATGGCCGCCTTCCAATAGCGCGGTAAGCTCCAGGCGGGTGTGAAACGCGCTGGCTGCTCCCGGGGGCTGGACAAAAGCTAATGCTCTGTCATGCACTGCACCGCACACCCATCCACACCATTTACATGCACAGAACATTTTGACTGTGCCACGGCAAACGCAAGCCCCCGCTATTTCCTCTTTCGAGCTGCTCTTATTAAATCTGTCACCGTGAGAAGCTTTCAAGCAAACACAACTATACAAGCAAGGCACTGGCTTGGAGAGATTTCAAATGGAAAGACATTTGTCGAGACCTGTTCTGCAAAGCACTTTCTGTATTAAACTAAAGGCTCCGTGGAGATTTTAGATGTGGTTCTATATGCTGACTGAGTATGATGAGGACACATTAGAATCTTACTATTTTTATATTACTTGGATTAACTAACACTGCTATCAACAACAAATACCATGAGAATTGGTATCAAATGCTTTCTTTTGGTGCCTGCAAGTGTTTGCTGGTTAACTGGATTTCTGACCAAATTCCCACAAGGACACAGTGACATAGAACTATCTTCGGCTACATTTCCCCTGACCATTTGACTTGTCGGTAGAATCACAGGGACGAAGTCTGTGAAAAGAAGATATCTGCTATTGTTTTTTTGCGGCCATTTGCATGGGCCAATGTTTGTTTATTTGTTTGATTGTTTATTATTATTGGATTTACTTGTGTATGTGGATGTGTGTGTGTGTTTGTGTAAAAATAAAAATGTCAATAAATACATCAAATAAAAAAGAATACTCCTTTGCACCTTGAGCCAACGCAAATTCCTAATTTAAGACATTATGTAACCTACAACAGCAATGAAAATTATAATTTAATGATATTAAATAATAGTCCAGGGGAAAAAACTAAAATCATAATCCAAACTAAACACAGGAACCAGGAACACAGACAAAGACACTGACAATGGACCAGCAACAAGGGGAGACGATACATATAGACACAAGTACATACTGTATAGATACAGTTACATATAGACACAGAGAGTCTCAGGTGAAACACATGAAAGCGGGGCAGAAAATCAACACAGTAGTGGTACATGGCTGTTTGAGAGAACTTTTTCAGAGAACCTTCAGGGGAAATTTTAAACAGATACACGAGCCACCTCCACTGGATCCCTGTCTGACTGAACTCATCACCTTATCTTGAATATGGAGAGCCCAGACACTCTGCAGACGACTATCATTTGAACCTTGTTGTTTGGTTCAAAGCTCACCACCCTATGATGAGTGTGGGATTGTAGATTGAGTGAGCTTTTTCTTCCGATTCTCTCTTTACCACCAGCGTCTGATAGATCGATCATATCACATCACTGGACTGATCTGCCTGATCTCATTGCTCCATCTTTCCCACATAATGAACAAAACCCCAAAATACTTGAAGTGCTCGAGGAAAGACCTCTTCACCCCTTTCAGATTGATTTTTGTCTCAGCTGCGACACATTCCAAACCACTCCAACCCACAATTTCTGTCTGGGTTCAATGAAGCCAACAGGACGTCATCCGAAAACAGCAGAGATGAGATTATCTGGTCCCCAAACCCTAACCCTAACCCTCCTATGTGTCCAAAAAACATATACCTTTCCACTCCCATGATCCCTTGAGCACCTTGGTAGAGGGTATAGAGCTGGTTGTTCTGGGGCCCCGCCTATAAGCTAATGCAGCTTACTGGGAGTTCCCTGTTACAAAACACCAACCAACTTTACAAATACAATGTGTATAACTTGTATGACCATGAAGTTTTTGTAAATAAAGAATTTAAATTTAAAGAATTTAATTGTTATGGTTCTGTTTGTTTTGCTATCTCTCTCCCATCCTGTTTCCTTTCCAGAGCATGTGTGAGACAGGGGGCGTGGCTGGTCTCTACTGGGATGCTGACGAGACACATCTGTATTCACTCGCTCGACTCTACAGTAACCCTGGTCTGCTCATCACTCCTCTGCCAGATCATTCCATCATATCGGTAGTGCTTTGCCAGGTTGTTCGACACGTACCCGTTTTTGGATTTCACACTCACCTGCTCTCCTATCTCCAGATCCTGTGCATTGTCCAGTCCTGGTCCGTTCAGTCTTCACTCTCGTCTATGGCCGACCAGCTCACTGTTTTCACTAGTCCATCCTATTTTGAATATTTTTTTGTATTTTGTATCATTAAAGACTCTTGAAACCAACGTGGCCTCCTTCTGCTTTGGGGTTGAAAACTCACCTTTAACTCATTGTGTCCCATTGATGCACAAATACGTCAAAGCAAATAGTAACGTCGTGCCATTGACGCATTAATCCGTCAAATGCCTTTTTCGCTATTTTCACGTTCCCAGATGTCTATTGTATCTAATATGTATGGGGATGACTTGAGACCATATTTTATCGAGCCAGCAGGTGGCAGCATTGCTCTCTGAATGGTTTGAAAACATGTAGGTGCACATGTTGTGCCTCTTTTTTCTCAACTTTCTGGTGATTTCAGTAAAACTTCCCTCTACTCAACGGAGGATTACAGGGGAACGAAAAAAGCTATAAACAAAATTCTTTTTGCTGAGGAAAGTAGACAGTCCATTCTTTTAGAATCAGATTTCAGATAGTCATAGTACACAATATTCTGTGGGTCTTGAAAAATCAGTAAAAATCATCATAAATGGCTGGCACTGTGGGAGTACCTTTTCTGAAATAGGCTGGCATTCAATACAGAGGTCCCCCTTCTTCAAAAGAGGGATCACCATCTGAGTCTGCCAATCTAAAACACTGTCTCAGATCACCACGCGAGTCAAGGCAGAGCTCATCGGCTTCCTTGGAGGATTCCCTAGATTTTACACTTAAGGGCACGGTCACATAGGTTTTTACAAATGAACCAGTCTCATCTGTGAAAACAGCCCGCGGTCACATGAACCGTGCCAGAGTAGTACAACGCCCGGTCCAGCTGGTGGCGCTAATAACTCAAGTGACTACCACGTTGTCCGAGTTGAGTTTCTGCTTTTTTTCCTGTTCACATTCTGCTACTGCAGTTAGCAGGCTCGAGCATGCAATGCGTTGTTTGCATCAGAGCAGTGTGAACAAGTGTGAGATATGTCTTTCCCCAAATTGCAGCGGTGGGACACGTGCGTGTTGCGGGCGCACCGCGGACACGGGAGCGCGCCTTTATAGTAACGAGCTTAAAGCGCTGAGAAAAGTGGCTACGAGTGATCGGAGCGTGCGTGCGTGTGTGTGTGTTCTGGCGATTAAATAAAGACAAATTCTTGAATGTCTGAAGTGTTGTTGCATTAGCACCACACTGAGAGCGAGGGTCAGGACAGAAGAGAGCTATATCCGTAGGATATACCTCGGTCCGGGGCTAAATGAGAGGTTTAACACAGCTGAGAATACGAAAGTGCAGGGAGAGACTGTGTGAAAATGCGTGTCACAGGAAGACGTAATGTGACGCACAATATTAAGTCCCCACCACACCTAATCCCCCACTCCCCACCACACGCGACACCGACTCCCCTCATCCGCACTGGGAAGCGGGCCCTGGCCGCAGTTT